AGACTATAGTCCATGACATATATTTTATATAAATTAGGTAAAAATAAAAATTAAATAACGAAGCTCAAACTTATTTATATTTACCTTTTTCACATTGAATTATGGTAAATTAGATTTAAATATTTTCAATATGTTTTTTATCCATCACCGAATTTGATGTTTCTTCGTCTGTAAGCCACATAGTTAAAAGACTATAAATGAATGACAAATATTTTAGGTTTTTTCTTCACCATCCCAAAGTCTTAGGTATTTTCATCACTAAGAACCAAACATAATATACTATAGTAAGTTTAAAAAAGTAATTATATTTTGTTTTTCAACTCCATAAAATTTTAGGTTTTCCCCACTAAAAAGCAAAGAGTAAAGACTATAATCCCATGACATATTTTTAAAAAAAATAAAGGTAAAAATTAAAATTAAATAATGAAGCTCAAACTTATTTATATTTACCTTTTTCACATTGAATTATGGTAAATTAGATGTAAATATATTCAATATGTTTCTTCTCCATCACCAAATTTCAAGTTTCTTTGTCAGTAAGCCACATTGTTAAAAGACTATAAATGAATGACAAATATTTTAGGTTTTTTCTTCACCATCCCAAAGTCTTAGGTTTTTTTATCATAAGAACCAAGCATAATAGATTATCGTTGGTGTAAAAAATTAATTCTATTTTACTATTCAACTCCAACATAAAATTTTAGGTTTTTCACCATTAAAAAACAAAGATAAAAGACTATAGTCCACGACATATATTTTATATAATATAGGTAAAAATTAAAATTAAATAACGAAGCTCAAACTTATTTATATTTACCTTTTTCACATTGAATTATTGTAAATTAGATGTAAATATATTTAATATGTTTCTTCTCCGTCACCAAATTTCATGTTTCTTCGTCTGTAAGCCATATAGTTAAAAGACTATAAATGAATGACAAAAATTTTAGGTTTTTACTTCACCATCCCAAAGTCTTAGGTTTTTTCATCACTAAGAAACATACATAATAGACTATAGTAGGTGTAAAAAAATTAATTCTAATTTATTTTTAAATTCCAACATAAAATTTTAGGTTTTTCCCCACTAAAAAACAAAGATAAAAGACTATAGTCCATGACATATATTTTATATAATATAGGTAAAAATAAAAATTAAATAACGAAACTCAAACTTATTTATATTTACTTTTTTCACATTGAATTATGGTAAATTAGATGTAAATATTTTCAATATGTTTTTTATCCATCACCAAATTTCATGTTTCTTCGTTAGTATGCCACATAGTTAAAAGACTATAAAAGAATGACAAATATTTTAGGTTTTTTCTTCACCATCCCAAAGTCTTAGGTTTTTTCATCACTAAGAACCAAACATAATAGACTATAGTAAGTTTAAAAAATTAATTATATTTTATTTTTCAACTCCATCATAAAATTTTAGGTTTTCCCCACTAAAAAACAAATATAAAAGACTATAGTCCATGACATATTTTTTTAAACAATATAGGTAAAAATTAAAATTAAATAACGAAGCTCAAACTTATTTATATTTACCTTTTTCACATTGAATTATGGTAAATTAGATGTAAATATATTCAATATGTTTCTTCTCCATCACCAAATTGAATGTTTCTTCGTCAGTAAGCCACAGAGTTAAAAGACTATAAATGAATGAAAAATATTTTAGGTTTTTTCTTCACCATCCCAAAGTCTAAGGTTTTTTTATCACCAAGAACCAAACATAATAGACTATTGTTGGTGTAAAAAATTATTTCTATTTTATTTTTCAACTCCAACATAAAATTTTAAGTTTTTCCCTTTTAAAAAACAAAGATAAAAGACTATAGTCCACGACATATATTTTATATAATATAGGTAAAAATTAAAATTAAATAACGAAGCTCAAACTTATTTATATTTACCGTTTTCACATTGAATTATGGTAAATTAGATGTAAATATATTCAATATGTTTCTTCTCCATCACCAAATATTATGTTTCTTCGTCAGTAAGCCACAAAGTTAATAGACTATTAATGAATGACAAATATTTTAGATTTTTTCTTCACCATCCCAAAGTCTTAGGTTTTTTCATCACTAAGAACCAAACATAATAGACTATGTTAAGTTTAAAAAATTAATTATATTTTGTTTTTCAACTCCATCATAAAATTTTAGGTTTTCCCCACTAAAAAACAAAGTTAAAAGACTATAATCCATGACATATTTTTAAAAAAAAAATAGGTAAAAATTAAAATTAAATAACGAAGCTCAATCTTATTTATATTTACCTTTTTAACATTGAATTATGGTAAATTAGATGTAAATATATTTAATATGTTTCTTCTCCGTCACCAAATTTCATGTTTCTTCGTCAATAAGCCATAGAGTTAAAAGACTATAAATGAATGACAAATATTTTAGGTTTTTACTTCACCATCCCAAAGTCTTAGGTTTTTTTATCACTAAGAACCATACATAATAGAATATAGTAGGTGTAAAAAATTTAATTCTAATTTATTTTTCAATTCCAACATAAACTTTTAGGTTTTTCCCCACTAACAAACAAAGATAAAAGACTATAGTCCATGACATATATTTTATATAATATAGGTAAAAATAAAAATTAAATAACGACGCTCAAATTTATTTATATTTACCTTTTTCACATTGAATTATGGTAAATTAGATGATAATATTTTCATTATGTTTTTTTATCCATCACCAAATTTCATGTTTCTTCGTTAGTATGCCACATAGTTAAAAGACTATAAATCAACTACAAATATTTTAGGTTTTTTCTTCACCATCCCAAAGTCTTAGGTTTTTTCATCACTAAGAACCAAACATAATAGACTATAGTAAGTTTAAAAAATTAATTATATTTTATTTTTCAACTCCATCATAAAATTTTAGGTTTTCCCCACTAAAAAACAAATATAAAAGACTATAGTCCATGACATATTTTTTAAAACAATATAGGTAAAAATTAAAATTAAATAACGAAGCTCAAACTTATTTATATTTACCTTTTTCACATTGAATTATGGTAAATTAGATGTAAATATATTCAATATGTTTCTTCTCAATCACCAAATTGAATGTTTCTTCGTCAGTAAGCCACAGAGTTAAAAGACTATAAATGAATGAAAAATATTTTAGGTTTTTTCTTCACCATCCGAAAGTCTAAGGTTTTTTTATCACCAAGAACCAAACATAATAGACTATTGTTGGTGTAAAAAATTATTTCTATTTTATTTTTCAACTCCAACATAAAATTTTAAGTTTTTCCCTTTTAAAAAACAAAGATAAAAGACTATAGTCCACGACATATATTTTATATAATATAGGTAAAAATTAAAATTAAATAACGAAGCTCAAATTTATTTATATTTACCGTTTTCACATTGAATTATGGTAAATTAGATGTAAATATATTCAATATGTTTCTTCTCCATCACCAAATATTATGTTTCTTCGTCAGTAAGCCACAAAGTTAATAGACTATTAATGAATGACAAATATTTTAGATTTTTTCTTCACCATCCCAAAGTCTTAGGTTTTTTCATCACTAAGAACCAAACATAATAGACTATGTTAAGTTTAAAAAATTAATTATATTTTGTTTTTCAACTCCATCATAAAATTTTAGGTTTTCCCCACTAAAAAACAAAGTTAAAAGACTATAATCCATGACATATTTTTTAAAAAAAAATAGGTAAAAATTAAAATTAAATAACGAAGCTCAAACTTATTTATATTTACCTTTTTAACATTGAATTATGGTAAATTAGATGTAAATATATTTAATATGTTTCTTCTCCGTCACCAAATTTCATGTTTCTTCGTCAATAAGCCATAGAGTTAAAAGACTATAAATGAATGACAAATATTTTAGGTTTTTACTTCACCATCCCAAAGTCTTAGGTTTTTTTATCACTAAGAACCATACATAATAGAATATAGTAGGTGTAAAAAATTTAATTCTAATTTATTTTTCAATTCCAACATAAACTTTTAGGTTTTTCCCCACTAACAAACAAAGATAAAAGACTATAGTCCATGACATATATTTTATATAATATAGGTAAAAATAAAAATTAAATAACGACGCTCAAATTTATTTATATTTACCTTTTTCACATTGAATTATGGTAAATTAGATGATAATA